AACTTCCCCAAAATACCAACTTCCCTTTTCCACAAAACCCTAAATTCACTAATTATTTCACAAACCAAATCCACAACTATCCATCTCTACAATGAAATAGAAGAATAAGGCAATCCACTCTTCCTAATACTCCCTTTCTCTCTCTCTGCTTTTTTTTTTTTTTTTTTTGTCAAATCTTATGCTGTATCAACCTACTTTTTTGATTTGAGTTTTCTTTTCCTCCATGGCCCACTGTTAATCATTACCCAAAGCAAAATTCTATGCATAAATCAGTAATTGTTTATTAATCCTTTTTGTTTTTTTACGTATACTCTGTTATTTACGCCGAATTCCATATAGTAAACCATCATCATAGACATTAATCAATTGGCGTTTTTCTTCTGTCTTTTAATTGGAAAAATCCAACTGAATTGTCATCGAAATCCTTTGTAGAAGTAATTTCGAATACAACTTTGAAACATAAACTTTGGAATAAAAAACTATATTACGAAGATGGTTAATCAAAGTGGTTTCCTTTATTTTTTTTCTCTCTTTTAGTTTTCTTCGAATTTGTTGCTTTCTTGGATTGTGTTTATTGCAGTGTTTAGGGTTTTCTTTTGGGTCATTTTTTTGACGTTTTTGTTAACTTTTATGGATTGGATCCTTATGAGAAATATTATTTTCCTAATCTATGAAAATTATAAATAGAAGTAACAGGTTTGGCCTGACTAAATTCTTGATTTTATGAATTTCAATTTGCAAGATGAGAAGAGAACTTTTAGGATATGTGCTACAAAGGAACAACCGCAAAGAAAAAAAAAAAAAAAAAGATTTGACAACGTGATTCCGCATGTTTTCTAGCTCCAAAATGGGTTAAATTAGCCTAATTTTGTATGAGTTGCCTGTTTGAAAATTGGCTCAAAAACTGTAATAATATGAGTTTTTTGCTCTTTCTATACAAATTAAGGGTTAAATGACCTTTAATTCCCATAATTACTTACTTTTTTTTTTTATAATACTTCTCTTTCATTGTGATTCAATAATTATTTATTTTCATTTCTAACTGGTTTTTACATTACCTCAATAATTTTAATGAAGTTTTTTCAAAGGATGTTGAAAATTCAAATGTGACAAGCATCTGGAACATACAATCTTAAATTAACAAATGAACAATTATTATATTGAAATAATAAACACATACTCCCTCTAAAATCCCAAATGAAAGTCGCTCAAGAATTTTGCACAAGAATTAAGAAAACTCATTAATTCCGCAAGATCTATTAGAAAACCAATGGTAATTTGATCAAAATTTATTAATTTATCTCAAAACAATAGTTACTTATGAAAGTATTTTATTGTATCTATATAAATAAGGGTAACATGGAAAAACAGATAATTTATTACTTCTTAAATTCAAACCGACTTATATTTTGACCCAAATAATCATCTGAAAATGAACTTATATTTTGGGAATAGAGGGGAGTATATTGAAGTATAAATGGAAAAATGTAAAATCATTTAATGAGAGTTACCAACATCGATGACTTTAAAATTCAAGAGGGAAAAGAAAAAGAATAAAATCTACTTATTAAATTAACATACTCAATCTGTCCTAAAATATGCAAGTGTTATAAATATTTTAAAAAGTAATAGGATGCTTTTCCATTAATTGAAGTACGATTGGTATAAAATGGTCTTGAGATATATCTTTTAATCATTACTTTTAATCAAATTATTCCTGATTGCTAAAAAATTTAAGGGAATTAATTATTTACTTAATACTCGTGTAAAAAACTTTAGAAAAAACGATTTATATTATAGGACAGAGAGGAGTATGACTTTGAAAGACGATGACTTGTAAAAAGTAATTATTCAATTAATTAATTAAGTGATTGATTAATTAAAAATAAGAATAAAACTTAATAAGAACATAATAAATAATTTAAAGATTAATCTATAATATAAAAAAAGTAATAGGACTAATATTTTAAAGATGGATCAAAATAGAAAGATGATTTTTTTTTTTTTTCTTTAGGATAAAGAGAGTAATATATATTTTTTGATTCAAGGCTCGATAGCCGAAATCAATATTACGGGTTATACAATGGTAGCCTTCCTCGCAAGGGAGTAACTAATTAGGTAATTAATGTTTAATTATCCCTGAACAAATGTACATATCATATTATCCTTTCAAAAATGAATAAATTTACAGTGTGCAATAATATTAAAGCCTGATTCTGATTGGTACACACTTCACCCAGTTTACGACTTCATTCAATCTAGTTTCAATAGAATACGATTCGCTTACCACCCCAAAAAAGTTCAGCTTGGGCATGGTAATTGGGAAGAGAAGACAGAGTTTGAAAATTGAAAGACGGATATTTTCTTTTTCCTTTGACCAAGATATTTTGTAAAAATTGAAAAAGCAAGTCTTCCTATGGGTCAGCGGAGCGTTCTCTTTTTCTTTGATCAAAAGTCAAGAACATGAAGAATGAGGTGGGTTATGTGCCTAATGGCTAATGCAATCTCTTCTTTTTATTACATGCTAGGCTGACGTACCAAAGAATGAACTAGTTATCTTTCTGTTTCATGAGATCTCCTTAGTTTGCCTTCCTTTCGGCAAAGACATTGCATTTTCTCATATGGGTTTAAATGAATAAAACCAATTATACTCTATGTTTCGTTGTTTGTATCTTTCCTCTATTGCTAAGAATAAAATTCTTATGTGGGTTTTAAGGAGACAATAAGAAAGCAAGGAAATAGTTCAAATAAAAATGATGGAAGTAGAGACCTTCAAGCATAAAATAGAGGAATTCCTAATGACTGTGATTTCATTACTACCATGTTTCCTGGTCTCTTGAGGACATTTACAATATCAACTGTTTCAAGGTTTCCGGTTTTTCGCTCCTTTTGTTACAATCATGTGCAGCTTTTGATTTAATTTTTTTTATTGTCCCCTTTGTTCAGTTTCATGCTTGTTTCTATTCGGTGATATGCTTGATGGGTTGGCGGCTTGGAGTGGCCCAATATTCAGTTTTTTGATTGTGCTTTTTCTTGCCTTCCCCCCTTTCTCTGCATGTGAATGTGCTGCAAAATTTACTAGAACGATTAGAAGCCAATGTGGAAGGAGCTCCGACCCAATCTGAAACAAATAAATTGGTATTTTTTTGGTAGAATGTGATGGGTCCAATGATGCCATGAAAGGAATGTAAATCACCGAGAAGTAATAAGTTTTGTTCCTGTACTGTCTGTTAGAGTATATCATGTAGAACGAATTGATTTTTTCAATGTAATGAACTGAAAAATTCAACAAACCATCAACGGCAAATTCATTCATCCATTCAGATTCACTGCTTTATAGAGTGACAGTCTGGGATTTGGGGACGGTTTAGGATATCAAGGTGCTTGTTTTCACAAAGTACTTATAATGGATGGGGAAGTGCACAGATCATACTATAATTGGTGTATCACGAAGATCTTTCACTGTTTTATTATTCCTTTTTATCCATATGGATGATGATAAAAGCTGGGTGTGGTCATAATAAGTGATGTGCATACTTGGCATCATTGTTTGTTTCACAGTATCGTTTGCCTCATGCCTCAGAAAGAATTTGATAGTTGAGCTAATCAAAATTTCTTCTAACTATCACTTAAAATGTAATTTTGTCTCGTCTTCTTGAGAAATGATTGCTCCATGCAAAATGCCAAGCATATTTGCTATCTTCCAATAATAACATTAAAACAGGCATAATCATTGAAGGGTTTTCATATGTTATTTAATATATAACAGTAACCAAGCAAACTTGACAAAATTCTTTGGTTTGTTGAGATAGAACACACTAATAGTCTTGCAAAAGTTATATTCTAGATTATCCATGTTACCGCTTGACGCGTTCAATTTCATTTTTGAAAAGTTCAATAACTTGTCTTTCCCTTCTTTAAAACTCTCCATAAGGTGTAAGGCGATGCTTTCATCTCCAGTTTTCTTTGAATCTGATAATCATATGCTGTTGGAGTGTGAATCTCAATGCTGGCATTCTCAGACTACATTATTTTCAGTCATCAATGCGCAAGTTGCCTCTTGAAATTTCATCTTCTATCTTTTCATAATACGGTGATATTTCCCAATTTTTTATAGGGGCAGCAATTCCAGATTTGTTTGAAATCGGTTAAGCATTTATTTTTCATCATATGTACTTCCCTTATTGGAGGAAACACGGGCACGGCTGCATTCAAGTATGGAGAATTATTCCAGAGCACCAACATCTGAAGTTATTTTCATTGTCTCAGAGCAGGCGTACATCAAACATTGTTTTTATGATATTAAAGATTGATTATTGGAGAAATAGATTCAGCGATCGCGCAAGGAGTTTTACAATAACATTGCCCTGAGCATGTTTGTTTCCTTCTGGCAAGAACATTAAACCCTGAAACCGTTCTGATTTGCAAAAGGGCGGGAGGACATGGCTTTAGCTCTGGTCAACCAATAATACCAGAGGATAGATTGAGGATGCTAGTACATCATCTAACTCGTTTTAAAGTCAGGCCATCAAAGGGACATTGGCGTTTCTCGATGAAATGCAGAAATCTTTAGTTGTGAATTTTCCTTTGACAAATTGACCACTAACAAAGAATAATGGAATAGATTGCACACATTTGGAAATTTGGGGATATCATTAAGGAAGTTCTGTGCCCATGAATTCAATGGTAAGGGGGATTGGAATATTAATTGTTGTGAAATGATTCTGAAAGTTTAATTAAAAGTTACAATAGACTTGTGCAGTAATCACTTTACTATGCTCTTCAAGCACCCTTTTAATACTCTCTTATGTATAGTGAGATTAAATCATCTGTTTTTATTCATTTCAGTAATTACTTATTCATTTTTCAAACAAATTGTTGAGATAGTTTTCCTTGCATGTATTTGAAATGCCGCCTAATATTAATGGGTTTAAAATTGGAGTTCCATGTAATGAAAACAGGTCGAGGAAAATTGCAGCCCTCTGTTCCAGTGCAGAACAATGCACCTGGATGAAAATAATCGTTATGAATCTATTCATCTACAGAAGAATCTCAAACTGAGGCATTTTGGCTTTGGTCTTTGTAGAACGCAGTGCAATCACAGGTCTGCTGTGGAACCCTTATTTGGGGGCCGCTCCAGGTGAACAGGGAAAACTAAAAAACCAATTAGTATGTTTCTCTTTACCCTCTTAAACGGTGAAATGGTCAGGGGGGGTTTTCCCCCTGATTTGTGCCCCAACCCAATGTTGCTATAACAGAATTGGCTTCTAGGGTCCTAAAGCTGGTGACAGAAATCCTCTGAAAAAGGACTCAGCAAAACTGATGCTTTGGTTTTGTTTCTCCTAGGAAATATTCCTTTTATTCGGGCATAAAGACAGGCTCCAACAGTTCAACTCAAGATGAAAGACATATATTGGATACTGTTAGAAGGCTTAACAGAGTGCTTTGCACCCTTCGACGGTTGGCGGTACTGTTTTTCACTGCGACAAAAATGTTTTTTTGAAGATTGTTGTTTGTCAGTAATGATATTTCTTGGAAAGATGAGATTGATTCAAAGAGCAGGATTATGACTCAGGAAAATAAGAAAAAAGATGAAAGTTGCAGTAATGGGGGCTGTGTTTGCAGTGGAAAGCATAATCATTTCTTGAATTCATGAGAGGAAAGATTACTGCTCTACTGATCACAACTGAAAAAGATGTGTCCTTACTTTTATGCACTCATTATACCTGAAAGCTACATTCTGAAACCATAATATTCAATAGGTGGTACAAACCTTGTTATTTTAAAACTGGGCTCTTTTTGACCAATTTGCTCTTTTCGTGATGATGTAAGTTCCTGAAGAACTTGAGAAAGCTTTTGCAAGGAGGAGTTAGATGGGGATTCTTCTGAATATTTTGCAGATATTTCATTACAATTGTACTTGCATAGAACCAAATGCCTTTCCACTTTAGAAACTCTCTATAGTTCTTTCAGTGAACTTGAGCTTCCAAGTGGTATGAGCAAGTATTCTATAGAGGGATTCTGCTTTCAAACAGCTTCCTTAATTTTCTGCACAGCATCTAGTTCATATAAACTCTATTCATTGGCAATGCAACCATTGAACTTATTGGTTATTGATGAAGCAGCCCAGTTGAAAGAATGTGAATCGATAATTCCCCTTCAGCTTCCCGGTATTAAACATTACCCCTTCAGCTTCCCGGTATAAAACATGCCATTCTTAATTGGTGATGAATGCCAGTTACCCGCTACTGTTCAGAGCAAATGTACGGATATAATTCCTAACTTTTTTCTTCTTCTTTTTCTCTTTTTTTTGGTAATTTCCTTCTTTTTTTAAAAACCCTGTTTTGGTTATATTAATGTCTTTCATTTTTTTTTTCTATAGCTTGCTTATGAAGCTGGCTTTGGAAGAAGTTTATTTGAAAGGTTGAGCTTCTTAGGTCATCCGAAACACCTTTTAAAAATGCAGTACAGAATGCATCCATCAATTAGTAGCTTCCCAAATTCAAATTTCTACTCTAATAAGATCATCGATGCACCAAATGTTAAGACAAGAAGTTATGAGAAATGTTATCTTCCAGGGCCAATGTTTGGTCCCTATTCATTCATAAATGTAACTGGTGGAAGAGAAGAGGTGGATGATGTTGGACGTAGCCAAAGAAATATGGCTGAGGCAGCTGTTGTGTTGAAATTAATTCATTGCCTGTACAAAGGTATGATTTGCTGTACAAAAGTATGATAACCTGGAGGTCCGATATTTTTATTTGTATCCCTGATATTGGATATTTGTTATTTGTGAACTTTTATAAAAATTCAATATTTTTCCCCTGCTTGGCTTATGCTGTTAATACATTTTTTAATACTGACATTTAAGAAATAGTTTAACAAGTGCATTGAAATGCTAAACTAATACTGACATTTTAAGAAATAGTTTACAGTGCATTGAAATGCTAACTTCGCTCTCCCTGTATGGCCTAATATTTCACAAACTTAATGACCATGTTATATGCAACAATTAGTTTGATTACTTGTTATAATTCTCTGTAAATTTATGAACTAAACTAGAGCTTTTTTGAATCACTAGCAGCGAGCATTGTCCTGCTATTTGCTTGATTTTAACAAATGGAAAAATTATCTACGAGTCACAAGTTTTGTATACTCTGCTATTCATTTTATCTACCAGTAGTTTTGAATGCCCTTTCGTTTTTGTTTTTTCTTTTTCTTCAGAAGTTGGTAATTCAAGTAAGGGTACTCATTGTAGGTGGCATTTAACATCCTCTTCTTGTTTCTGATATTTTGGATTCAATATTTTATGCAAAATATGCCTTCAGCCAATTTTTGCTGATTTCTTAAATAAATTCTTACATGAGGTTATATGCCAAACCAGTTAATCCTTAACCAATTATTTCTTCTTGTATTTGGAACCTCAATGTTTTTTTTATCCAATAAAGGAGAAACATGCAAAGTAAAATAGTTGACAATGATGTAGAAATTCATCTTGTGTGAGAAGTCGAAGAGTGCAGCAAGGATATAATGCATATTTTTTAAAAAAAAAAAAAAAAAAAAAGTAAATAATGCCGCGAAATTGATAATATTTATTTTGCTTCTCTGCAACTTTTTTGTGCTAATACTATATCTGATCTGTTGAAAAACATGCAGTGAGTCTTAGATTGATTCTCATTTGAAATCCTTGCCTGTTATTTATGTACAGCATGGAATGGCTTAAAACAGAATCTCAGCATCGGCGTTATATCTCCCTATGCTGCTCAGGTAGTTGCAATTCAAGACAAACTTAGTTCCAAGTATGAAAAAGTTGATGGCTTTTCAGTGAAAGTCCAGTCAATAGATGGATTCCAAGGTGGTGAGGAAGATATTGTAATAATATCAACAGTGAGATCAAATAGTAGTGGTGGTATTGGGTTTGTGTCTGAGTTGGTGGTATTGGGTTTTGTGTCTGACCCTCGAAGAGTTTAATGTTTCTCTTACAAGGGCTAGGTATCACTTCAAGATCAACTCTTTTTCTTTACCTTTCTCTTTATTAGTTCTAATAATAACCTGTCAATAAAAAGCATTTAACCGGTATTCATTTTCTCCCTGGTTAAGCATTCTCAAAATAGATATTTTGGATTGTTTTGGTTTTGTTTAACAAATTCTGCCTTTAGTCCTTGATTGTAAAATTATAGATTTTTATCTTGGCAATTTACACTCAAGACAATTTAAATTGAAATAACACTTAAGTCCATTGAAATTTTTAAAAACTTTAGTTGCAACTTCAGTATTTTAATTGTTCTTATTACTGAAAAATATGCTCCCTCAAACTATGCTCCCTCAAACTCTTAACTTGTTTCATTAATAATAGTTTTAGGACTAAAAATGCTAATTTGAAATGGTAGTGAGTGTAGTGTATGTTACTGAATATCTTAGCATTTTTTTTTTGTCCATTCAGGCATTGCCTTTGGATTTTAGGGAATGAAAGAACACTTTTTAGAAGTAGATCTATCTGGGAAATGCTAATTCGTGATGCAAAACATCGTCAATGTTTCTTTAATGCTGATGAAAATAAAGAATTGGCTAAAGCCATTCTAGACGTCAAGAAAGAGTTTGATCAACTTGATGATTTGCTTAATGGAAATAGCGTGCTTTTCAAATGTGCCAGGTGGAAGGTACTTACCTGTAGTCAAACCTGTGCTTTTCAAATGTGCCAGGTGGAAGGTACTTACCTGTAGTCAAACCTATTCTATTCCTCACATTTTTCCTATTGTGTAATCTCATCTCCAACATCCATGTGTTTTGCATTAATCAGAGCAAATTTTTTTCATGTCAATTCATTGCATCCCCAGGTTCTTTTCAGTGAATACTTTAGAAGATCATTTGGAAAGCTGAGAGCAAAAAGGACAAAGACTTCTGTTTTGAACCTTCTGCTAAGACTTTCTAGTGGATGGCGTCCTAAGAAAAGAAATGTGGATTTAACTTGTGAAAGCTCTTCTCAAATCTTGAAACAGTTCAAGGTTGAAGAACTGTATGTGATCTGTTCAGTTGATATAGTGAAGGAAGTAAAATACATTCAAGTTCTGAAGGTCTGGGATATATTACCTTTGGAAGATATTCCGAGTTTGGTTAAACGTCTCAGTGGGATCTTTGAAAGACACACAGATGATTTCATCAGTTGTTGCAATGCGAAATGTTTGGAAGGGTATGTTTTTGTTGGCATTAAATTCAACCTGCAGTCATTTTCCTTGATCTATGTGAACTCCTTTCTGAGCAAACCAAATAAGCATTATTTCCTTATATTGTGTTATTTTTGTTTTGTTTTGTCTAGAGACTTGGAAGTTCCCAAAGTTTGGTCAACCTCATTTGATATTGTCCGTTATAAGAGTCCTATCAACAATGAAGCAGGGAATGATTCAAATTTTGGTGCTTCTGATTCTAGATGCTATGTGGAAAACTCCAAAGTGAGTGATAGTTTGTTGCTAATGAAAAATTCTACTCCTTGTCATCTGGAGTTGTGAAACACTTGCTTTCTGACCGTGAGGTAAATAATTAGAACTCCCTTTTGAAGTGACAGGATGAAAAAAAGAGTTGGAAGTAATTGTAGATTCGATTAAAAGAACTACTTTTATTCTAGGACGGTCAGGGACTGGGAAAACAACTGTTTTAACAATGAAGTTGTTTTTTATTCTAGGACGGTCAGGGACTGGGAAAACAACTGTTTTAACAATGAAGTTGTTTCAGAAAGAGCAACAGTTCCATATGGCAACTGAAGGATTTGGTGAAGACATTGGCAATTTGTCAAAGGATGCCTGCTGGAGAAACAATGTTTCTGATGAAAAAAAGGTTGAGGACAGCGTTAGAGAAGATAATAAGAACGTCTTGCACCAGCTTTTTGTGACAGTCAGTTCTACACTTTGTTATGCTGTAAAAAACATCATGTTTCACAGCTGAAAAGGTGCGTAAACATATTTAACTAGTAGAACAAATACTTTCAAAATAGGAGTTTGCATTTCTTTATTTCGTGGATGTGCTTGATACTGTTTCTGTATAGAATCTCTTGTAAATATTAAATGAAATGTTAGACATTTCTATATTTGTTAGATGTGTCAATTTCTTCTTATATGTATCTTTCTTTTCTCTACCATGACTAATTGGTTGTCTAAGATTTCAGAATGCAGAAATGTCTAAAATTTCATCTAATATTTACAAGAGATTCTATACATTTCTGTATTCACTTTTTAAGACATCTAGATTGATGAAATTCTTACATAGGTTAGTTGCCTGTGAATACATGAAGAAGTTTTTTACATGGCGATTTGTTTTGTTACAAAAGCTTACAAAAGCTTTATTGTATGCGTACAGCTTTGGATCGGGGGGAAAATATATGGCAGAAAGCAATTCTGTTGATATGGAAGATATTGATGGTATAGCACAGTTCAAGGACATCCCTGATTCTTTTATTGATATTCCTTCCAATTTATATCCTCTTACTATAACTTTCCACAAATTTTTGATGATGCTTGATTTGATGATGCTTGATGGAACAATAGGCAATTCATATTTTGAAAGATTTCCTGATGTGAGGCAGTTTTTACATGGAAAAATGGGAAGTCTGGAATCCATTGCCTTACAAACTTTCATAACAACAAGGGAAGTTAACTATGATAAGTTCTGTTCAATTTATTGGCCTCGTTTCAATACACAAATGACAAAGAAGCTCGACTCATCTAGAGTCTTTACTGAGATAATGTCTCACATAAAAGGAGGTTTGCAATCAAGTGAATCTTGTGACGGTAGACTTGCGAGAAAAGATTATGTTACTCGTTCTGAGGGTCTGAGGGTCGTCTGTCGACTTTAAGTAGGGAGAAAGAGAAGAAATGATATATGACATTTTATGAAGATTATGGAAAAAGATGAAGATAGAAAATGAGATTTTGATACAGCTGATTTTGTGATGTGATCTTCTCTGAGGCTTAGCAATGGAAAATATCAGGTGACAACATAATGGATTTTGTCTATATTGATGAAGTTCAAGATCTTACAATGAGACAGATTGCTCTTTTCAAGCACATTTGCAGAAACGTTACTGAGGGCTTCATTTTTTCTGGTGACACAGCACAAACCATTGCAAGGGGCATTGATTTTAGGTTTGAAGACATAAGATCTGTGTTCTACAATGAATTTGTTTTAGGATCAAAAAGTGAAGGATATGACAGAAGAAAGGAGAAAGGCCAAGTATCTAAAATTTTTCATTTGAGCCAGAACTTTCGTACCCATGCTGGTATTCTCCAAGTATCTAAAATTTTTCATTTGAGCCAGAACTTTCGTACCCATGCTGGTATTCTCAAGTTAGCTCAAAGTGTTATTGACCTTCTTTATCGTTTTTTCCCTTCATTTGTTGATATTTTAAGCCATGAAACTAGTCTTATATTTGGTGAAGCCCCAGTTTGGCTTGAAGCGACAAATGATGAAAATGCAATTGTGACTATATTTGGGAGCAGTGGGAATGAAGGGACCAATTTTGTTGGGTTTGGAGCAGAACAAGTCATATTAGTGCGTGATGATTCGGCAAAGAAAGAAGTGTATGACTATGTTGGGAAACAAGCCCTTGTCTTGACTATAATGGAGTGCAGGGGCCTAGAGTTTCAGGTCAGTATTAGTTTTTTTTCCTTTTTTTTTTTCCTATTTTATTAATTCTGTTAGAGGATTTGCTTATTCTGTTTACAATCATTTAGCATTTTGAGTTCTCATTTTGAATTATACTTTTTGCTTTTGTATGTCCTGAAATCATAATGCATTGTTTTGATAATTCAGTTATCGATCAACTATTGTAGGATTTTTCCAAGGTAATATTTCTTGGACCAGAATAAAATGTAACATAATGAAAAAGTGAATAGAAGTGCTATGGTGCTCTTTATCTCATTACAGCTTATCAAACATAGAGCTAATGATTATTTGACCTTGTTCACTCTCATCTATTTTCGTCTTCTTTTGGAGGAGATCTGTTCATTGTTTACTATTTATTGTCACAAATAAACAAAACCCTTTCCCTAATTGAAAGAGAGAAGTGGCTTTCTACTTGTCGTTGGTCATATTGATACAAACTAAACTGTGTTACACTCAGCGCTGAGTAATCATTTTCTTATGAAATATTCAAAATTCCTTAACTTATGTCCTATTTGTTATCTACTTTATAATTTGTAATGTTATCTTTTGTAGGATGTACTGTTGTACAACTTTTTCGGCTCATCACCTCTAAGAAATAAATGGAGAGTTGTCTATGAGTACATGAAGGAGCAAAATTTACTTGATGAGTCCTCTCCTGTTTTCAATATGGCAAAACACAATGTCTTATGCTCTGAGTTGAAGCAGTTATATGTTGCAATCACTCGTACAAGACAAAGACTATGGATTTGTGAGAATTTAGAAGAGTTGTCCAAACCAATGTTTGATTACTGGAAGAAAAGACTACTGAGAATCTTGTTGACGAATTTAGAAGCAGGTATTGCACCAGAAACCAGATGGTTTGAATTTTACTGGAAGATGAAAGCCTTATTATCCAAGTCATAGGACAATGGAGTGACTTCACTTGCACAAGAATGCACAACGTTTAAGCAGTCCCAGAAGAGTGGAAGTCCAGGGGTTACAAGTAGCTTGCATCTTTGTTTTCATGAGGAGTAATGTTTATCTGAGATCAGTATATCGAGCTAGCGTAGTTAGTTGTTGTAATTAATGTTCTTGGAGTACTTATAGATAAATCTTAATGCGAAAGTCTGCTTGATAATGGATATGGTCATAATGTGTGTATGCCGCGGGTAGATATCTCTGCTCACAGTATTGAGATAATTGTAAAATGTCAATCTGTCATCAACTTTAAATTTTAATCCTGCAAAATTTGGAAAGCAACTATACTTTGGTATAGGATGTTTGAGTAAACACATGTGTACTGGTATTCCCGCTTATGCATACTATATCTACTCACACTCATATATGTTAATTTTGCCAACAATCAGGGTGTTTTCATTTCTATTAGGATATAGATTAAGGAAACACGCTGTCTTTTGAATCTATCTGAGTAAAGTGTAACTTTTAATCTTATCTTTTCATTCTGGCACACAGCTTTTACGTGAGGGTAACTATGAGATGGCAACCAAATGTGTTTTTGAAACGAGCTAAGAGAATACATATGGTGAAAAAGTAGCCAAGGCTGCTGGGCTTAAAGCAACTTGCAGACAGAAATGCCAATGCTTCAAACCCTGAAGAGGCTTCTTAGCCCCGTGGTCAAGGACCTGCTACTGAAATTTTCGCGAAATTACACATTGCAAGGTGGAGCCTTGCCGCAAAGAAACTCGCCACTCTTTATTTTATTATAAGCCATAGTAAATGAGCGGGCAGGTAAAATTAACTATACATAATCATTGACACTCTTGTTCCGCTGAAACTGCAATGATATTGAATCACTAGAATCTAGACATATAGATATCATTATGTAACCATATCTGATATTCATAGGATTCTACTTCTTAACTTATTTCCAATTGTAGGTCAAATTTATTTGCATGTGGGGAATCTGCTATTGAAAGAGCTGGAGAATGTTCAGTCTTGAGCTGGATGTTTATAAGCTTGCAGGCAGGAAGTATATGCTACAGGTACCATCCTTCTCAGATACTGAGCTTTGTCTGCTTGCTTTTGCAAAGGAGAGATCTTTGACATGGGCTTGCAATATATTCAATGCTGGAACAAGTTGAACTGAGGATCATTATAGTCTGGTCCTGGGAATATATTCAATGCTGGAAACAAGTGACTGCGGATCAATATATGGTTAAAAGAAGCAAAGAAATGGCCAAAATTGAACAAGAGTTTCTGGAGAAATGTGCTCTCCATTATCATAAGCTGAATGATAATAGAGCCATGATGAGATATGTTAGAACCTTTGATTCTATGGACTCAATTCGAACTTTCTTGAATGCTTTAGAGTGCCTTGATGAGCTTCTGTCACTGGAAGAAGAATCAGGCAACTTTATGGAGGCAGCAAAGATTGCAAAGTTGAAAGGTGAACTTCTACTTGAGGCTGATCTACTTGGAAGGGCTGGAGATCTTAAGCGTGCAGCTATGCTTATTATATGTTACGTGTTTGCGAATTCTCTGTGGTCATCTGGGAGCAAAGGCTGGCCTTTAAAGCGTTTTCCACAAAAGGAAGAGCTCTTGGCAAAGGCAAAGTCATTTGCAGAGACCGAGTCAAGCCAATTTTATGAGCTTGTATGTCTGGAATCTGAAATTTTGTTGCATGATCTAGGTAACTTGTCCATGATGAAACAACATCTGAATGCTTCTCAGAGACTTAAGAGTATCAGAGGTGAAATTTTATCAGCTCGAAAGATTCTTGATGCCCATTTTCAAGTAAACAGCTCAAAGTACGTGTGGGAAAATGAATTTGTTCTTGATCTAGAAAACTTGTTGGAAGAGAGACTATCAGAAGATGAGGTTTCCATTGAAACTCTGATGTACTCCTGGATATTTTGGAAGGCTAAGATTGTTCATGTATTTGAGTATCTCGAATGCCTTGAAACTCACGATCTGAGTGAATATGCAAGTTATGGAGAATTCTGCTTGAATTATTTGGGTGTGCAAAGACATTTCAATAATCTAAATGCCATATATGTCCTTATAAACTCTGATGCAGAATGGTTGAGATAATCTAAATGCCATATATGTCCTTATAAACTCTGATGCAGAATGGTTGAGAGAAATAGACAGCAGATATATAAAAAGGATTGGAAAGCTCAGCTATGTAGATATTCGCCAGTTTATCTCTGCTTCTCGTAGTTATTGGTCTTCTGAATTAATATCTGTTGGCATGAAGGTTTTGACTAATTTTGAATCCCTATATAAATTCTCAGTTAAGAATTCATTTTCTCTCTTCTGCCAAAGCAGGTCTCTTTCTCATATCTATGAGGTCTCAAATTTTCTTTTGAATTCCAAGTTTCTCGACGGACATTATGGTGATAAAAATAAGCTGCAGAAATTAATCAGCATGTCAGTTGAACAATCCTTTGCCTGCATTTATCCTCTAGACTGTAGAGAATCATTGAAACAGAATATGATTTCTTTCCGAAGAACTGAGACTTTCAGAGAAGAACTGAGACTTTCAGAAATCTCTTCAAAGAAATGATTTTTGAAAATGTTAGCTTGAAGAGTAAGCTGTCTTATGGGCAACTTGGAAAGATAGTATTAGTGATTCTTGGTTCTGGTAAGCTATGTAATGAATTATATGAGAAAATCATGGGTGGATTAGAATGGAATTATTCTTGGAACAATTTGATTAAGGATCTCTGCAGGAATGACGCAAGCAATAACATTGTACGTGGAGAGCTGTCTCTCAAGTGGGTTCTGCAGGAAGCTCTGGTGGATGCTTACAGTGCCAACTGGCGTAAAGAATATGACTACATCTCACCAGGTTGTTTCTTATACCTTGTTGAGCGCCAACTGATTTTGTTATCTTGCTTCCATGGATACTTCCTCACTACAAAATCTTCTTTTGTTGAATGGTTCTTTTTGTTGAATGGCTTATCTATGAGGAAGGCAATGGCAACCAAAACTTCTAAGAATTAGTGGAACAAGCCGCACAATCTATAGAAGTGTATGACTAAAAAAAGGTATAGTTTGACATCATCCATCAGTTTCTTTATAATAAGAAAGATACAATGGAGTGGATCAGAAAAATGGTCACAGTAATATTTGGGCGCGGCACGAGATTCTACTATTCTTGTGAATTACCCAGTTAGGAAATGTAAAGAGACGGCTGTATGCAAATTGTCATGTTTGAGATTGAATTGTGAATAATAATGTTTGCTTATGTTTTGAAATTTTGGTTGTGGCGAAAATTACCATCCTTCATGACTTTGCTGGAAGGAACGACCATTTTTTGCTGGGAAGGAACGACATAACAGAACAATTACCTCGGGAATTTGGTAATGTTCTTAAGAAAAGAAGGAAGCGTAATTCTCTTACTCTGGATGTAAATGTGTTAGCTGAAGCATTTAAGAAGATTGACAATAATCTGGTAATTGTCAGTTTGGGTAAAAGTTATCCAAGAAAATTTGGCCCGGATGCTATTTTTGTGTATGTGAAGGCCAATCAGAGCATTGAGGATATATTTAGAGACTTATTTCCAAAGAGAAATGAAAATTCTGTAGACAACAAAGGATCAGTTGATGTGGGCACCACCAGTTCATCTTCTGTTATCAATTTTGCTGCAGACAGGAATTCAAACATAAAAGCAAAATCTGATGTTACCCATTCTTTGACCCTTGGCCATAGTTGGGAACTATTTGAAAGTTTAAAATCAGAAAAACATTTAATAAATGATCCAAAAGTGAAGGTAATGTCAAATTCTTTTCTCTCTGCTTACATTTTATTATATTCAGGCTTATCTTCTTGTGATTTTATCTTTCAGGAAGACATAGAGAAAACTATTTTGATCCAAAAGTGAAGGTAATGTCAAATTCTTTTCTCTCTGCTTACATTTTATTATATTCAGGCTTATCTTCTTGTGATTTTATCTTTCAGGAAGACATAGAGAAAACTATTCAACTTTTAAGTGGTCATGGGATATTGAGTAACCCTGATGGTGAAAATGAAAGTCTGTTTAGAGAAGCTGTAAACATGCTTGATGAATTGAAACAATTAAATGCTGCATTAGATGTGAGGTAAATCTAAACTCTTGTACATTCTCCCAATTCCTAACTGTCAATAGTATTATTTTTCCTTCCTTTTCCATTCACCATAGGCAAATCTTGAAGTGGCCTAGAAATGTACTGCTCAATTTAATACAAGCAGTCCTTTTGGCTCTAAATAGTACAAGGCAGTACCTTATTTTGGCTCTAAATAAGGTTGAATTTGCTTCCTCCATTTGCTGAGCTGGTAAAAAAGTGCTAGATTGGTAAAAGGCTAGATGGTAATATCCAGAGCAGTGCCAGGTATGTACACCATCTGTGGCTATACTGCCATAGATGGTGCCACATGACTTGCTTGTGACTTTTTGTTTTTTATGTTGTGTTTTTCTGTTTAAACTGTATTTTTGAATTCATTTTTGGATTATTATGTATTTTTGCTAGTGCATATATTTGCATATTCTATATAAAGGATTCAAGTAGAATGTAAAGTGTATTCAAACGCGACAATATGGTATTTGACTATATTTTTCAAGTTTTCACTTCCCTGCCTAAAATACTTTTCACTTTCCAATACCCTTGCCTATTTTTTCACTTTTAATATGAAAGCTATAATTTTGCATGCATCAGACTATAATTATCTCTTTCTGTTCAGTGAGGTGAAACTTCGGAATGACAACTCAGCAATTGGAGAACTTCTCAACAAGTTGCAGTCAAGAAGGCCAAGCATGGAACCTTTCCTGATTCAAATGTTCTCAAAGAAAGATGAGAAATTAAAAGGAGAGGCTTCAAAGATCAGAATTGCATTGGATGGTGAAGGTGATGGGTGAGAGCAAAATTGAGGCTTTGCAGGCTGATTTTGATTCTCAAATTCAATGCAGCAACCATAATGTAGATCAAAAGAGGAAGGGAAATAGCAAATCCAAGAAAAACAGAAGGGGGGAGAGAGGTAGAAAGAAGTGCAAGAAAACTTAAACAGCTCCGAGTATATTCAGGGCAATATATACAAAATCCATTAACTTTTTTTTTTTTTTTTTTTCCAGAAAGAGCTATGAAACAGAGACTCCGAGACTAATAATTCAGGGCAATATAATATAAAAGATACATTTAACTTTTCTTTTTTCAATAAGTCTTTTGTTTGTTTTTCTTTTATTTTTTATTTTTATTTTATAGTAATGATAATTTGGGAAACAACATTTTTAATGGAACTTGGAGCGCAGCTAAAAACTTATATTTATATAGATGTTTAAAACGTTAACCGCTTTAGTGCTCTTGCAATCTGTCTTTTTTTTTTTTTAATTGTTTTTTCTTTCTTATTAATTTTCTTAAACCATGAGATTAAAGTTCTCGTTGTTCTTTTTCTTTAAATGAAAAGCGATCTCCTATATAGTTGCTATTTTTATACAGGAATCAAAAAGGAAAAAAAAAAAAAAAAATTCAAGTGCGTGAGTTATATTCTGTTGTGATGTAATTATTTACTTTTTTTTAATGTCAAATAAAAATCCTAATTACAGATCAAAAGAAAAAAAAAAAAAAAAATTCAAGTGGTGTTATATTTGTTGTGATGTAATTATTTACTTTTTTTAATGTCATAAAAATCTAATTATACTCCCATTCTATTAAATGTATAATAATTTAAAATTTGCACAAACATGGGAAGTGTCCTGATAATTATACTCCCATTATATAAACAATTAACTTTGTGATAGGCAACAATGAAGGAAAGAGGCTTACAGTAATGTTCTGACATGGGAAGTGCTAGTGAAGAAAATCTTATGTAAAAAGAAACAGAAACTGATCCTTTAAACAAATTATATTTATTGTAGCGTAAAAAGCACCCATTGAAATAAATACGAGAAGGGAGGCGACGAAGGAGCTTTGAGTATACAGTCGTTTGGAGTAAAGTCATGGTGACATTTGGCTAAAACATTGGAATCGTAGAGCTAAAGTAGTGGGTGACAAAATGTGTATTGATTATCAATTGTGAATGAGTTTCCAGCTCTTTAATAAAAGCTACAACAAAACTAGAAGGTATTTTTATGGTTCGTAATAAAAGGCCAGATTGGGTTATTCAATGATCAGAAGAGAGAGATGAAGAAGGAGAAGATGATGGAAGAGAAGATACATGTTTGACATGGTAGTCTTTTGAAAGTGAAGACTGCATTGAGACGAGGAGGAGATTTTGGACTGTCTTTCCTTACTTTATGCTTTTATTAATAAAAATAAGGTTAGTTTAATTTGACCGCGTGAAGTACACTGAGGCTGGAGAAAGAAGAAAATGGACAATTTTTACCTTTAAGCCCAAGTGGTGGGAATTTTGTCAAAAAAAGGTAAAAAATGGACAATTTATAGTAGGGTTATGCAAAACCCGAACAACCTAACCCGGTCCGACCAAACCGAAAATATAGGGTTATAATGATTTTTGGGTCAGATCGGATTAGATAATTTGAGGGATGTATTCTCTTATTTGGATCGGGTGGATCGATTAAATACCTTGTTTAACTCGATCCTACCAGAAATAATGAAAATATTAATTTTTTTTTCAAGTGTTTTTTCACATGACTCATTCTTCTTGCTTTCTTCTTTTATTTATAAAATTAATTTTTTCTTGAAGATGACGTGTATTTTTCTTGAGCAACTAAAAATATAATATTTAAGTTTTCATGTTTTTTATTTCTATTATGTATGTTAAGTACTTAATTAGGACTTTTTAATTTGCTATGGTTTGGTTATGATTTAAAGATGGAAAATTATGGTATATGATTGTGATTATTGTGGTTTGATTGTATTATATTTTTTTTTTTCATTACAAATGTTTGATGTTGATTATGGTTTGATTTATTTTATGATTTGTTTATTATGGTTGTTTGAGCAACAATTATTTTTCTAGACAACTTTTTTAATTGTGTAGGATCCAAATAAAAATTTTGATTGTGCAAAAGCCATATTAAAAAAAGTATTCAACCCATAGAAAAATATTTAATTAAAAATCAGGTTAAACAAGCGTCGAATAACCTGATTCGATTTTTAAAGGGGTTGGGTCAATAAAACCATTCTCTCTTATTTAGCCCGACCCGGTCGTTACTCACCCCTAATTTTTATATTGGTCTTAAGTTTAAGGGGCATTTTGAATTTTCTTCCTTCTTTAAATAAGTGATGTTTACTTAATGTACAAGGATAAAGTTGAAAAAATAATTAATGATTCTTTAATTTTCTAAAATGAAAAATGAAGTGAGAAAAATTAAAATTTTGATAGTTTTAGTGGAATGGATGTAGCGATAAAGTAAGTAGCAAAAAATCAATTACACGTTAGTCAATAACTATTTTGTTATTACACCATAATCAATAAAAAAAAAGAAAGACTCTTGTTAAAGTGCACATTCCCACTTCCCATTTTCCAATTCCCACCCACATGATCTTGTTTCTACTAACTAGTTTCTTTGGTTTAGGAATTGGAATTTATTTTTAATATTTTTATTTATTAACAATTAAATATTTATAATTGATTTTTTTTATTGGTTAAATACTTAAAATTAAAAACACACAATACGCACACACGAGTTAAAGATAAGACATATTCCTTTATAAAACTATGATAATTTTACAAGTGAAATTTTTTTTTAATATAACTTATTAATAACAATATCAGATATTATAAGTGCTCAATTAAATTTGACATAAAATTTACTCTCATAAGAATTTTTTTAATAAATCAAAAAAATTATTTATATTTTTTAAATAAGAAAATTAAAATTAAAAGAGATAATATTAGTGGATTTTGATTATTGGCTTAATAAGATAAATAGTTTCAATTCAACTGAAGACAAAAGAGTTGAAATATCAAGTTAATGGGGTCAAAAAATAGGAGTGACTGATAAGCAATGTATATAAATAGGGATGCAATGGAAGTGTAGCGTGTATTCATTTATTTTAAATTATTTATAATTAAATTCTTTTTTTTATTAATATAACTTTATTAATAACAATATCAAGAATATATTATAAGTGCTGACAATTTTAAATTTTGAATAAAATTTACTCTCCATAGAATTTTTTTTAATAAATGCAAAAAATTTTTATATTTTTTATAAAGAAAATTAAAAATTAAAAGAGATAATATTAGTGGATTTTGATTATTGGCTAATAAGAATAAATAGTGTTCAATTCAACTGAAAGACAAAAGACGTTGGAAATAAATACAAAGTTTAGATGCGAGGTATCAAAATATATATATGGAGTGAATACTGATACAATGCCAAATGAGTATGATAAAATAGGGGGAGAGATGCCTCGACTGGAAAAGTGATTAGCGTTATTCATTTATTTTTAAATTATTTATAATTAAATTCTTAAATAGTTTAACATTTATATACCAGTTTCAAAATCTTTCAAAAAAACTATATTTATATTTACAATTTGCTAAATAGGAGTGACTGATAAGCAATGTATATAAATAGGGATGCAATGGAAGTGTAGCGTGTATTCATTTATTTTAAATTATTTATAATTAAATTCTTTAAATAGTTTAACATTTATATACCAGTTTCAAATCTTTCAAAAAAATATATTTATATTTAAATTTGCTTTAGAGAGATCGAGACCTATAGAATTAATTAGATTATTAATAGGTCGGATTTATTCAAGTATTTGATTTATCCAATCATAATAGGACACCTTCAGATAGTTGTTGAAAGCTCTGACTTGGCTATTTTTGATAAGCAAAATTGACATTGTGGAATGAATCAAAAACTGGATTACGGTGCCCCACTGCGTACTAATCTAGAATCCGGAAAGGAGATAGTTGTTGAGAGCTTCAAGTAGACCATTTTAGTTAAACACATATGGAGGTGCAGGATGAACCGAAAAAAGTGTTGGTTGATTAAGACTGCATGATAATGGTTATGGAAATCGAAATCCACTAAGATGTATATAGTAATTCACCTGCGGAATCAACTACTCGAAAATGGACGGCGCTTAAGTGCATCACCTATACGTGATAAATGAATTTGTAACGATACAAATAAAATTTTAAATATATACATACCAAATTTAAATACCTGATTAAAAAATAAGTTGGATTCAAATAAAGCATTTTAAATAGATATCTTAACCCAACGCGCAATGAACCCAAGATGGAATAAAGATTAAAGTGGAGTGCATGCACGAAATTTAAGTAGTGGTCTCTAGAAAAGAATATCTCTCCACTCCACCGTGACCTTGTGATGGATACTGCTAACCCAAGAGAAAGAATATTTCATGGCTCTCTCTCTCTCTCTCTCTCTCTCTCTTTCTCTTTCTCTTTCTCTTTGACAGCCATTATATGATGATCATATGCGAGTAAATATGGCCCCTTCCCTTCCCCGCCCCTTGCTTCCAATTCCAAGTACCAAATCAAAGAGAAACAAATCAAACAAACAAAGAAAGAAACTTGAACAAATGCCAGAATTGAATTACCAAATAACTGTCATGTGGGATTTTTTTTTTCTTTCTGTTTTTTTCACTCTAACTCTCCAAAAGGGTCCTACTATCTTTATGCAACTTTCTTATCCCATCCCACATCAAAATTTTATTATAAATTTCTCATTTTTTAGCTCATAAAATAACAAGAAAATTTCATAAACAAGAAAAAAAAAACATGGGTAGGAACAACCCACATCAAAATTTTATTATAAATTTCTCATTTTTTAGCTCATAAAATAACAAGAAAATTTCATAAACAAGAAAAAAAAAACATGGGTAGGAACAAATATCACTCATCACCAGTAGATTATTTTTGTCTACATCTGCATTAAAGTGTCATCACATACATTATATATGTTCTTTTTCTTTATTAATTAGCATTATGATTTAAGAGTGAGCAGCAATAGAGTTGAGAGTTAAAATGTATCTTGAAAGTCAATGTGAAATACCCATTATAGTTTATTATTGGATGGAACTATATAAAAGGAGAAAAGAAAAGGAAAATATATGTAGAAATTAAGAAATTAATTAAGTTATATATAGCAGAAATTAGTAGTGCATGGTTCGTGTGTGTTAAAAACAAACACAGCTAGATAGCATTATAGTTTATCATCTCATCACATCAAACAACCATGCATGCATCTATTATCAATTTGCTGAATCATGAAAATGACCTCCAAGAATATTTTCTCATTTCTATCCACAAACAATGAAATGATATGAGAGTAATATATATATATGGATGGCAACTTTAAACACCATTTTTAACTTTGGTTCTTCAGTTTATAACCATGTCAGAAAAAAAATTAACTTCTTTAAATTTGAGAAATGTACTAATTATACAGAATATATATTTACAATGTATTAGACATCAACAACATATTCACATAATTATTTTTGAAAAATCAACCATTATATGTTTTTCAATCCATGAATTAACGTGTTCATAATAGATTGTAAAACAACATGGAGGTCAAAGCCAGTCAATATACAAGTAGTCTTGTGCTTCTAACAGCATGCACAGCATGGTATTATATGGGAAAATGCAACTGAGAGGAAGTAAAATGAGGGAAATTATACATTAAAAAAAATGCTGAGAATTTCTTCGTAGGAAAAGGGAAAAATGGCATAACAGAGAAAAACAAGGGTGAGAATTTCTTTATAGGAACAATTGACTTGTGTCTTTAAGCCAAGGTTCCTTGTTAACTATTATTTAAAATTTAAACGATTGCTTATACATTATCTAAGTCTTTAAGAAACTTTGAGATTGCCTAAGCAGAATCTAAAAAACTGCTTAAAATCTGACTCAACATTCAGTAAATCTGACTCAACATTCAGTACATTAGAAATGAATACAAACTTTTTTTTTCTGAGTTCCCAAATGCTAAACTTATGCAGGCTGTCTTTGTTCATACTGCCATTATTTCTGCTATAGTCATTTTTTAAACCCCAAAAGTTTCCAACAACTGGTCGATGAAAGAAGTTCAAGTTCAGTCCAAGTTTGATTGGCAAGCAACCTATACAAATGGTAGCCTTCCCCTTGAGGGAGTAATATATTAGTAATTAATGTTTAATTATCCTATACAAATGTACATATCATATCATCTTTCAAAAATGAATAGAATATATCAGTGTGCAATAATATTAAAGCCTGATTCTGATTCGTACAACTTCCAAGTTTACGACTTTAATTCAATCTAGTTTCAATAGAATACGATTCGGCTTCCACCCAAAAAAAAAAAAAAAGTTCAGCTTGGGCATGGGAATTGGGAAGACAAGACAGAGTTTGAAATTTGAAAGACGGATATTTTCTTTCCTTTGACCAAGATATTTTGTAAAAATTGAAAGCAAGTCTTCTATGGGTCAGCGGAAGCGTTCTCGTTTTTCTTTGATCAAAAGCAACACAAAAGATGAGAAGGGTTATTGCTAATGGCTAATGCAAATCTCTTTCTTTTTATACCGTTAGGAATCAGCTCTGATACCAGTTGTTGGGCATCAGCTCTAATACCACTCGTTGGACCCTTTCAACCAATTAAGAGAAAATTATTACGGCAGCGGAAAAATAGAAATGGGACACACAGAAATTTACGTGGTTCACCCCACACAGAAATTTACGTGGTTCACCCTCAACTGTTTAGGGCTAACGTCCACGGGAACAAAACTTCCGAATAATTTCTTCCACTATTAAAAAAATAGTAGGTACACAAAGAGAGTAATACAAAAATAGTGGCACCCAAAGTTTTCCCAAAAACAGAGCCCAACAATAATCCTCACTATTTTTCTCTCCCTCGTTTTTAGGAAACCCATCCTAAAACGGTAACACTCTCTCAACTACATTTTCTCTCTCGTTTTCTGGTGGTTCTGTGTGCAATTGAAGCTTGGCTGCATATCCTCTATTTATACGGGAGGATTCAAGGAGAATTTAAGAGAGTCGTGCATTAGCCAATGCACGACCACTCAGTTTTGTCAAAAGGCATGCCAACCTTGAAAATAAATCAAACGTGTTGTTTTTTTCTTTTTTTTCTTTTCAATTTATTTTCCTTCAAATTTATTGTGGGTCCCACTTGAGTGTGGCACCGCACAACATATTACAACCTAGTGCTTTACTACGGACAAGAATCGTAGTTTACTTTCTGCTGTTCCATGAGTCCTCCTTATTCCTTCCTTGCGGAAAAATTGCATTTTGCAAAGAAATTGCATTTTCTCATATGGGTTTTAAATGATAAAACCAATATACTCTATGGGTTCGTTGTTTGTATCTTTCCTCTATTGCTAAGAAATAAAATTTCTTATGTGGGTTTTAAGGAGACAATAGAGCAAGGAAAATAATTCAAATAAAAATGATGGAAGTACAGACTTCAAGCAAAAATAGAGGAATTCCTGATGACTGTGATTTCATTACTACCATATTTTCCTGGTCTCTTGAGGACATTTACAATGATCAACTTTTCAAGGTTCGGTTTTTTCGCTCCTTTTATTACAATCATGTGCAGCTTTTGGATTATTATTTTTTTTTAGGAAAAATTATTATTTCATCCTTGAGGTTTTACTAAATTATTTAAATAGTCCTATAGTTTGATTAAATATTCAACACATTCTTGACGTTTTGCTCCCTCATCCTAAATAGTCCTTCCTCTAGTTTTTTATACTTTTGCCGTTAGACCACAGTAAAAACACTTTAATACCTTATTATTATTATTATTATTATCATTATTATTAAAGGGCATTCGTTGAGCATGAACAGCATCACAACAAGTGCCCAAAAGCTAAAGCTGAGTGCTTTGGAACCATTCGTTGCATAGTAGTGATGAAACACAAGCAAGGAGGTTCTCAATTGTGTCCTTGCTGAGATGTAAATAGAGCCAGGGAAGTAAACCTGTGATGTGCATCAGGAGCCTTGTCTCTGCATCCTTGAATATAGACTCACACTAATGCACAGTGATCTAATGAGAAAACCCCAATAGTTAAACTTTAATCTCGAGACCAAGATGTTCGATTCATCTCGGCGATACACTTGCAAAAAGAGAGTATGAGTGTGATTAAGCGCGTTAGGGTATTGAGAGAAGGCAGCGATGGTAGTGCACAACACGCTAGTCTCCCTGTTTTGGCGATGAAGGCATGGTTGGGATTGGGGAGATTTGAAGAGGCGAAAAAGGAGCTGAAGGGCATGATTGTGTAAGGAATTCCTGAGAGCGTTTGAGTTTCGGCAGTGGAGGCATACTTTGAGACGAGGAGACCGTTAAGGGATTGTTTTTGGGTCTCTGAGGGAGATGTCATGTAAGCGCAGAGACCGTTAAGGGATTGTTTTTGGGTCTCTGAGGGAGATGTCATGTAAGCGCAAGAACCACTTATAGATTGACCGTATCCAAGTGTGAATTGTAGTTGGCATACAAGACGTTCGATCAAATGCCGGATAGAACGTTGGTTTCTTGAAACTCTATCATTCGCGGTTATTATCAATTTAATAGGTTCAAAGAGGTTTTGTGTTTATTGTGAATTGTTCGTGACAAGCCCTTTTGAAATTAAGGGCAAATTTGTCATTTTAAAAGATCCCTCTCAACACTCTGTTGCCTTTTCTTGTGATTTGACGGCAAAAACACAAAAAAAAAAAAAAAGTACAGAAGGACTATTTAGGTTAACGGAGCAAAATGTGAAGGATGTGTTGGATATTTAACCAAACAATAGGACTACTTAAATAATTTAGTAAAACCTCAGGATGAAATAATAATTTCCCTTTTTTTTATTGTCGTGTTCAGTTTTATGACTGTTCTATTTGCTGATATGCTTGATGGGTTGGGCTTGGAGTGGCCCAATATTCAGTTTTTTGATTGCTTTTTCTTGCCTTCCTTCCCTTTCTCTGCATGTGAATGTGCTGCAAAAGTTTACTAGAATGATTAGAGCCATGTGGAAGGAGCTCTAACTCAATCTGAATAAATAACTTGGTATTTTTGGTAGAATGTGATGGGTCCCAATGATGCAATGATGCCATGAAATGGCAATGTAATCAATGAGAAGTAATAAGTTTTGTTCCTGTACGTTCTGTTAGAGTATATCAATGTAGAACGAATTGATTTTCAATGTAATTGACTGAAAATTCAACAAACAATCAACGGAAATTCATTCATTCCATTAGATTTGCATGCTTTATAGAGTGAAGTCTGGGATTGGGACGGTTTAGGATATCAAGGTGCTTGTTTCACAATGATACTTATACTTCTTGGATGGGCTTGGATGGGGAAGTGCAACAGATCATACTGTAATTGGTGTATAACGAGATCTTCACTGTTTTATTATTCTTTTATCCATATGATTGATGATAAAGCTGGGTATGTTGAGTCATAATAAGTTGATGTGCATACTTGGCATCATTTGTTGTTTCACAGTATTGGTTGCTTCATGCCTCAAAAAGAACTTGATACATGCCTCAGAAAGAAATTGATAGTTGAGCGAATCAATAATTTTCTTCTAACTATCACTTAAAATGTATTTTGTTCTCGTCTTCTTGAGAAATGATTGCTCATGCAAAATCACAAGCATATTTGCTTATCTTCCAATAATAACAGTTAAAACAGGCATATCATTGAAGGGTTTTCATATGTTATTAATATATAACAAAGTAACAAACCAACTTGACAAAATTCTTTGTGTTGAATAGAACAACTAATAGTCTTGCAAAGTTATATTCTAGATTGATCCATGTTATCCGCTTGACGAGTTCATTTCATTTTTGAAGTCAATACTTGTCTTCCCTTCTTTTAAAACTCTCCAGTGGTGTAGGCCATGCTTTCATCTCCAGTTTCTTGGTCTGATAATCATATGCTGTTGGAGAGTAATCTCAATGCTGGCATTCAGACTACATATTTTCAGTCATCAATGCAGCAGTTGACTCTTGAGAATTTCATCTCTAGCTTTTCATAATACGGTGATATTTCAATTTTTTGTAGGTGGCAGCAATTCCAGATTTGTTTGAATCGGTTGAGCATTATTTTTCATCATATGTACTTCCCTTATTGGAGGAAACACGGGCACGGCTGCATTCAAGTATGGAGATTATTTCCAAAGCACCAACATCTGAAGTTATTTCATTGTCTCGGAGCAGGCGTAATCAAACATTGTTTTATGATATTAAGATTGATTATTGGAGAAATGGTTTCAGTGATCGCCGCAAGGAGTTTTACAAAACATTGCCTGGAGATGTTGTTCTTCTGGCAGACATTAAACCTGAAACCGTTTCTGATTTGCAAAGGGCGGGAAGGACATGGACTTTAGCTCTGGTCACCAATATACCAGAGGATGAGATTGAGGATGCTAGTGCATCATCTACTCGTTTTAAAGTCAGGCCATCAAAGGACATTGGAGTTATTGATGAAATGCAGAAATCTTTTGTTGTGATTTTCTTGACAAATATGACCACTTTTCTTGACAAATATGACCACTAACAGAAGAATATGGAATAGATTGCACACATTTGGAAATTTGGATATCATTAAGGAAGTTCTGTGCCATAATTCAATGGTAAGGGGATTGAATATAATTGTTGTGAAAATGATTCTGAATGTTTAATTAAAACTTACAATAGATTTGTGCATAAATCATCTTACTGATGCTTTTCAGCACCCTTTTTATATCTTATGTATAGTGAGATTAAATATTTGTTTTTATTCAATTCAGTAATTACTTATTCATTTTCCAAACAAAATTGTTGAGTAGTTTCCTTGCATGTATTTGAAATGGCGCCTATATTAATGGGTTTAATTGGAGTTCCATGTAATGTAACAGGTTGAGGAAAATTGCAGCCTCTGTTCCATGCAGAACAATGGAACCTGGGATGAAAATATCGTTATGAATCTATCATCGACATTGAATGAATCTCAAACTGAGGCAAGTTTGGCTTGTCTTTGTAGAACGCAGTGCAATCACAGGTCTGCTGTGGAACTTATTTGGGGCCCTCCAGGGACAGGGAAAACTAAAACCATTAGTATGTTTCCCTTTACCCTCTTAAGGGTGAAATGTAGGGTCCTGATTTGTGCCCCAACCAATGTTGCTATAACAGAATTGGCTTCTAGGGTCCAAAAGTTGGTGACAGAATCTTCTGAAACAGACTCAGCAACTGATGCTTTGTTTTGTTCTTTAGGAAATATTCTTTTATTCGGGCATAAAGACAGGCTCAAAGTCAACTCAGATATTGAAGACATATATTTGGATTATCGTGTTAAGAGGCTTACAGAGTGCTTTGCACCTTCGACTGGTGGGCGGTACTGTTTCACTGCGACAAAAATTTTTTTTGAAGATTGTGTTTGTCAGTACTATATTTTCTTGGAAAATGAATTGATCAAAGAGCAGGATTATGATCAGGAAAATAAGAAAAAAGATGAAAGTTGCAGTAATGGGGCTGATGTTTGCAGTGGAAAGCATAAATCATTTCTTGAATTCATGAGAGAAAGATTCTGCTCTACTGTATCACAACTGAAAAGATGTAAACAGAATGTGTCCCCTTACTTTAATGCACTCATATACCTGAAAGCTACATGTCTGAAACATAATATTCAAAGTGTAAAAACCCTGTTTATTTTACCTGGGCTCTTTGAAAATTTGCTCTTTCGTGATGAATGTAAATTTCTGAAGAACTTGAAGAAAGCTTTTTGCACAGGAGGAGGAGTTAGATGGGGATTCTTCTGAATATTTTGCAGATATTTCATTACAATTGTACTTGCATAGAACCAAATGCCTTTCCACTTTAGAAACTCTCTATAGTTCTTTCAGTGAACTTGAGCTTCCAAGTGGTATGAGCAAGTATTCTATAGAGGGATTCTGCTTTCAAACAGCTTCCTTAATTTTCTGCACAGCATCTAGTTCATATAAACTCTATTCATTGGCAATGCAACCATTGAACTTATTGGTTATTGATGAAGCAGCCCAGTTGAAAGAATGTGAATCGATAATTCCCCTTCAGCTTCCCGGTATTAACGGTATTAAACATGCCATTCTTATTGGTGATTGAATGCCAGGTTACCAGCTACTGTTGAGAGCCAATGTACGATATAATTCCTCAACTTTTCTTATTCTTTTTCTTTTTTATTTGTATTTCTTAATTTTTTAAAAACTCCTGTTTTGTTAATATAATGTCATTACTGGTCATTTTTTTTTTTTCTAATAGCTGCCTTATTGAAAGCTGGCTTTGGGAAGAAGCTTAATTTGAAAGGTTGAGCTTCTTAGGTCATCCGAAACACCTTTTAAAATTGCAGTACGAATGCATCCATCAAAATTATGTAGCTTTCAAAATTCAAATTTCTACTCTAATAAGATCATCGATGCACCAAATGTTAAGATAAGAAGCTTATGAGAATGTTACTCTTCCCAGGGCAAATGTTTTTGGTCCCTATTGCCATCATCATAAAATGTACTGGTGGAAGAGAAGAGGTTGAGATGATGTTGGACGTAGCCAAAAAATATGGCCTGAGGCAGCTGTTGTGTTTGAAATTAAATTGCATTGCCTTATACAACAGTATGATAAGTGGGAGTCCGATATTTTATTTGTATCCTGAATTTGGGAAATTGTTATTCGTGATTTATAAAATTCATATTTTTCCTGCTTTGGCTTTATGCTGTTTTACATTTTTTTACATACTGACATTTTAAAGGAAATAGTTTACACTGCATTGAACATGCCTAAAACTTCGCTCTCCCTGTATGGCCTACGATAATTTCACAAACTTAATGACCCATGTTATATGCCAACAACTACGTTTGATTACTTGTTAAAGATTTTCTGTAAATTTATGAACCTAAACTAGATTTTTTTTGAAATCACTAGCAGCTAGCAGCGAGCATTGTCCTGCTATTTGCTTGATTTTAACAAATGGAAAAATTATCTACGAGTCACAAGTTTTGTATACTCTGCTATTCATTTTATCTACCAGTAGTTTTGAATGCCCTTTCGTTTTTGTTTTTCCTTTTTCTTCAGAAGTTGGTAATTCAAGTAAGAGTACTCACTGTAGGTGGCATTTAACATCCTCTTCTTGTTTCTGATATTTTGGATTCAATATTTTATGCAAAATATGCCGTCAGCCAATTTTTGCTGATTTCTTAAATAAAGTCTTACATGAGGTTATATGCCAAACCAGTTAATCCTTAACCAATTATTTCTTCTTGTATTTGGAACCTCAATGTTTGTTTTATCCAATAAAGGAGAAACATGCAGAGTAAAATAGTTGACAATAATGTAGAAATTCATCTTGTGTGAGAAGTCGAAGAGTGCAGCAAGGATATAATGCATATTTAAAAAAAAAAAAAAAAAGTAAATAATGCCGCGAAATTGATAATATTTATTTTGCTTCTCTGCAACTTTTTTGTGCTAATACTATATCTGATCTGTTGAAAAACATGCAGTGAGTCTTAGATTGATTCTCATTTGAAATCCTTGCCTGTTATTTATGTACAGCATGGAATGGCTTAAAACAGAATCTCAGCATCGGCGTTATATCTCCCTATGCTGCTCAGGTAGTTGCAATTCAAGACAAACTTAGTTCCAAGTATGAAAAAGTTGATGGCTTTTCAGTGAAAGTCCAGTCAATAGATGGATTCCAAGGTGGTGAGGAAGATATTGTAATAATATCAACAGTGAGATCAAATAGTAGTGGTGGTATTGGGTTTGTGTCTGAGTATTGGTTTGTGTTCTGACCCTCCCGAAGAGTTAATGTTTCTCTTACAAGGGCTAGGTAGCAACTTGCAGATCAACTCTTTTTCTTATTTCTCTTTATTAGTTCTAATAATAACTGTCAATAAAAAGCATTTAACTGGTATTCATTTTCTCCCTGGGTAAGCTTCTCAAAATAGATATTTTGATCCTTATGGTTTGTTAACAATTCTGCACTTTAGTCCTTGATTGTAAAATTATAGATTTTATCTTTGCAATTTACACTCAAAACAATTTAAATTGAAATCCACTTGAGTCATTGAAATTTTAAAATTTAGTCGCACTTCAGTATTTTAATTGTTCTATTATGAAAACTATGCTCCCTCAATATGCTCCCTCAAACTCTTAACTTGTTTCATTAATAATAGTTTTAGGACTAAAAATGCTAATTTGAAATGGTAGTGAGTGTAGTGTATGTTACTGAATATCTTAGCATTTTTTTTTTGTCCATTCAGGCATTGCCTTTGGATTTTAGGGAATGAAAGAACACTTTTTAGAAGTAGATCTATCTGGGAAATGCTAATTCGTGATGCAAAACATCGTCAATGTTTCTTTAATGCTGATGAAAATAAAGAATTGGCTAAAGCCATTCTAGACGTCAAGAAAGAGTTTGATCAACTTGATGATTTGCTTAATGGAAATAGCGTGCTTTTCAAATGTGGTGCTTTTCAAATGTGCCAGGTGGAAGGTACTGTGCTTTTCAGTGCTTTTCAAATGTGCCAGGTGGAAGGTACTTACCTGTAGTCAAACCTATTCTATTCCTCACATTTTTCCTATTGTGTAATCTCATCTCCAACATCCATGTGTTTTGCATTAATCAGAGCAAATTTTTTTCATGTCAATTCATTGCATCCCCAGGTTCTTTTCAGTGAATACTTTAGAAGATCATTTGGAAAGCTGAGAGCAAAAAGGACAAAGACTTCTGTTTTGAACCTTCTGCTAAGACTTTCTAGTGGATGGCGTCCTAAGAAAAGAAATGTGGATTTAACTTGTGAAAGCTCTTCTCAAATCTTGAAACAGTTCAAGGTTGAAGAACTGTATGTGATCTGTTCAGTTGATATAGTGAAGGAAGTAAAATACATTCAAGTTCTGAAGGTCTGGGATATATTACCTTTGGAAGATATTCCGAGTTTGGTTAAACGTCTCAGTGGGATCTTTGAAAGACACACAGATGATTTCATCAGTTGTTGCAATGCGAAATGTTTGGAAGGGTATGTTTTTGTTGGCATTAAATTCAACCTGCAGTCATTTTCCTTGATCTATGTGAACTCCTTTCTGAGCAAACCAAATAAGCATTATTTCCTTATATTGTGTTATTTTTGTTTTGTTTTGTCTAGAGACTTGGAAGTTCCCAAAGTTTGGTCAACCTCATTTGATATTGTCCGTTATAAGAGTCCTATCAACAATGAAGCAGGGAATGATTCAAATTTTGGTGCTTCTGATTCTAGATGCTATGTGGAAAACTCCAAAGTGAGTGATAGTTTGTTGCTAATGAAATAATGAAATTCTACTCCTTGTCATCCTGGAGTTGTGAAACACTTTGCTTCCTGACCGTGACGGTAAAAGAATTCAGACCCCTTTTGAAGTGACAGATGAAAGTTTGGAAGTAATTGTGTTCCAAAAGAACTACTTTTATCTAGGTTTATTCTAGGACGGTCAGGGACTGGGAAAACAACTGTTTTAACAATGAAGTTGTTTCAGAAAGAGCAACAGTTCCATATGGCAACTGAAGGATTTGGTGAAGACATTGGCAATTTGTCAAAGGATGCCTGCTGGAGAAACAATGTTTCTGATGAAAAAAAGGTTGAGGACAGCGTTAGAGAAGATAATAAGAACGTCTTGCACCAGCTTTTTGTGACAGTCAGTTCTACACTTTGTTATGCTGTAAAACATCATGTTTCACAGCTGAAAAGGTGCGTAAACATATTTAACTAGTAGAACAAATACTTTTAAAATACGAGTTTGCATTTCTTTATTTCGTGGATGTGCTTGATACTGTTTCTGTATAGAATCTCTTGTAAATATTAAATGAAATCTTAGACATTTCTATATTTGTTAGATGTGTCAATCTCTTCTTATATATATCTTTCTTTTCTCTACCATGACTAATTGGTTGTCTAAGATTTCAGAATACAGAAATGACTAAAATTTCATCTAATATTTACAAGAGATTCTATAAATTTCTGTATTCATTTTTTAAGACATCTAGTAGATTGATGAAATTCTTACATAAGGTTAGTTACCTGTGAATACATGAAGAGTTTTTAACAGGGAGATTTGTTTTATTACAAAAGCTTTATTGTCTGCGTAACAGCTTTGCATCCGGGGGGGAAATATATGGCAGAAAGCAATTCCGTTGATATGGAAGATATTGATGGTATGCACCGTTCAAGGACATCAGATTCCTTTTAATCGATATTCCTTCCAATTTATATCCTCCTTTTTACTATAACTTTTTGATGATGCTTGATGGAACAATAGGCAATTCATATTTTGAAAGATTTCCTGATGTGAGGCAGTTTTTACATGGAAAAATGGGAAGTCTGGAATCCATTGCCTTACAAACTTTCATAACAACAAGGGAAGTTAACTATGATAAGTTCTGTTCAATTTATTGGCCTCGTTTCAATACACAAATGACAAAGAAGCTCGACTCATCTAGAGTCTTTACTGAGATAATGTCTCACATAAAAGGAGGTTTGCAATCAAGTGAATCTTGTGACGGTAGACTTGCGAGAAAAGATTATGTTACTCGTTCTGAGGGCTGAGGTCGTCTGTCGACTTTAAGTAGGGAGAAGAAGAGAAATGAATATATGACATTTATGAAGATTAATGAAAAGATGAAATAGCAAATGGAGATTGGATAGCAGCTGATTTTTGTGATTGATCTTCATCGTCAGGCTTAGCAATGGAAAATATGAGGGTACATAATGGATTTTGTCTATATTGATGAAGTTCAAGATCTTACAATGAGACAGATTGCTCTTTTCAAGCACATTTGCAGAAACGTTACTGAGGGCTTCATTTTTTCTGGTGACACAGCACAAACCATTGCAAGGGGCATTGATTTTAGGTTTGAAGACATAAGATCTGTGTTCTACAATGAATTTGTTTTAGGATCAAAAAGTGAAGGATATGACAGAAGAAAGGAGAAAGGCCAAGTATCTAAAATTTTTCATTTGAGCCAGAACTTTCGTACCCATGCTGGTATTCTCAAGTTAGCTCAAAGTGTTATTGACCTCTCAAGTTAGCTCAAAGTGTTATTGACCTACTTTATCGTTTTTTCCCTTCATTTGTTGATATTTTAAGCCATGAAACTAGTCTTATATTTGGTGAAGCCCCAATTTGGCTTGAAGCGACAAATGATGAAAATGCAATTGTGACTATATTTGGGGGCAGTGGGAACGAAGTGACCAATTTTGTTGGGTTTGGAGCAGAACAAGTCATATTAGTACGTGATGATTCGGCAAAGAAAGAAGTGCATGACTATGTTGGGAAACACGCCCTTGTCTTGACTATAATGGAGTGCAAGGGCCTAGAGTTTCAGGTCAGTATTAGTTTTTTTCCTTTTTTTTTCCTATTTTACTTGTTAATGCTGTTAGAGGATTTGCTTATTCTGTTTACAATCATTTGGCATTTTGAGTTCTCGTTTTGAATTATACTTTTTGCTTTTGTATGTCCTGAAATCATAATGCATTGTTTTGATAATTCAGTTATCGATCAACTATTGTAGGATTTTTCCAGGGTAATTGTTGAAAGAATATTTCGAATTTCTTTTTATTGTGTGTTATATTTTCAATCTCTACACCACTATATATATACACAAGATTGTTCCAATATAGGAAGAAATCTAATAGGAATAAACCTAAATTAGAAGACAATACCTAAACTAGAAAAGACAATATTGACGTTTAATTACAAAAGATTTCAACACTCCCCCTCAAAGTTGGTGCATAGATATTACTCATGCCCAACTTGCAAACCAAAGGATGAAACAGTTTTGTATTTCAAACTTTCTTTTATAAAGTGACGATCAATCTTATGTGCTTAGTTCGATCATAGCTGGACTGGATTATTCATAATACTGAGGCTGCTTTACTATCACAAAACTGATATATTTGTTGTTTCATCAACTTTAACCGTCCTCTTCCATTATCTGCGCATCCATAGAGTTCACATATTCCTTGTTGCCTTATCTATATTCTGCTTCTCTGCACCTGGAACCTTGCAACAACAGCCTGCTTTCTTGCTTCCCATGTGACAAGGTTTTCCTCCACAAAAACACAATACCTGAGGTTGATCTCTATTCATCAAGAGAACCAGCCCAATCCGGCATCTGTATAGCCTGTTAATTGTATGGCCATGTTAGAAATAAAGTCCTCTACAGGCAGCTGATTTTAAATATCTTAGAATCCCGATGCACAGCTTCTAAGTGAGACTCCCGAAGGGTCATGCATCGTACTGACCTTCACTAAACTTACAGCATAGACAAATATCTGGTCTAGTATGGGCCAAGGTAAATACAACCTCCCGACCATCTCTTGATACCTGCCAACATCAACTGAACTTCCCCACGCCAGCTTGAAGCTTATGATTGGCTTCAATAGGTGATTCTGCGGGTTTACAATCCCAACATACCAGTTTCTTTAAAGGAAGATCAAGGAGTACTTTTCCTTTGGAAATAAAATCCCTTTTTCTGATCTAGCACTTCTAATCCTAAAGGAAATATCTCACTTTCCCAATCCTTAATCTTCAAACTCCTAGCCTAACCAAATTTCATCATAGTGGTCATTTCTTTCTCTTCATTATTTCGCAGTCATCACTATATCATCAAACATAAACATAAGCAATGTGAATCTTACTTTATGATGTTTAATGAACAAAAGTAATGATCAAAGCATCGCTCTGCATGTAACCAAAAGAAAGCATAGCTTTTACTAAACCTTTCAAACCATCCTTGGTGATTGCTTCAGCCATATAATGACCTTCTTCAGCTTGCAAACTTTTCCTCTGGTCTTGTCATCATCAAATCCCAGAGGAATCTCCATATATCACCTTTCTTTTCAAATGCACCAATGTAAGAAAAGCGTTTTTTAACATCAAACTGATGTAATTCCCAGTCAAAGACATTGGCTGCACAAGACAAACAATTCTATATTGTATTCATTTTGGCTACAGGGGCAAAAGTTTCCTGGTAATCAACTCCTAGGTCTGACTGAACCCTCTAGCTACCAATCTGGCCTTTGGTACGCTCCTCAATGGAGACCATCTGCCTTAAATGCTTAACATGTGGAACACCAATTTACATCCAACTGGCTTCTTTCTTGATGGAGGAGTTTACAAGAATCCCTGTCTCGTTTTTTGCCAAAAGCTCTCATCTCTCAACCATTGCAGCCTTCCATTTTGGGTCTGTTAATGCCTCTTGCCAATCTTGCGGTATGAAACAGAAGAAACAGACAAAACAAGGCTCTATAGGAAGGGGAAAGCATTATAGGAGATGAAAATGGGAGATGGGATGTTTAAGTGCAATGTTTCTAACTCCTTTCCTAAGAGGCATAGGCATATCAGGTCATTGTCAGATAGGGCTAGAATCAAAGATTAGGATCAGAATCCATTCAGGAATTAAAGAAGACTCACCAAGTTCTTGTTCAGTCTGTTGGGCCCCAGGCCCGCACGGTTTTGTTCCTGGGCCAGGGAACCACCTCCTAGCCCAAAACGCGTCTCAGTAGCTCAAGGCCTGTCACACCTTATGTGCATCACTTCCACCTTGTGCTTAGCTGATGTGGGATTCGCCTAAGGTGTCACACTATGTCTACAGGAAACTCCCCCTGGAAAGGAACGTCATTCATCACCTCTTCCATCTGAAATTTCTCCCCCTGAAGAGGTGATTGGGAAGGAAAATAAGACTCAAATTCCCGAAAGGTAACATCCATACTCACAAAATATTTTCTAGAAGGAGGATGGATGATAACACTTTGTATCCTTTTTGAAGTAGCAGAGTAACCAACAAACCACACACTTCAAGGCTCTAGGATCTAATTTGCTTAGAACCATTCTGGATTGAACAAAACAAACACCAAAGACTTTAGGAGGGTACAATATAAGAGTTTTTTTCCTTGAAGAACCTCTAATGGAGTTTTAAAAATTTAAAGTACGAAGAGGTATAACGATTGATAAGGTAAGCAGCAGTCAAACTAGACTCAGCCCCAATATTGGTTTGGGAAGACATTCATAGTAAACATAAGAGACCCTAGTTACTTCCAGTATGCCTATTTTTCCCCTTTCCGCGACTCCATTTTTGAGCACTAGTATTGACACAAACTAAGTTTGATGTATAATACCATTAGATCTAAATAGGTACGAAACTGGCATTCATGTATCAGTACCATTATCAGTTTTAGGATTTTAACATGCGCATCAAAAACTGAGTAGCAAAACATTCTATTGGAAGTTTCTGAAACACGAAAAAACTTCATTTTTTGTTTTCATCAA